AAAGTAATAGTGTTTTCCGAATAGTTTCAGCCCCTCGAAGCGTGAGAAAAACGAATCGAAAACGAGTTTTATAGAAAAAAAATATAACAGACAAAGGAAATGAGAAATTTGTTTCGAGAACCTTCAAAAGATTATCCGAAGTTCACGGGAATTTTTTTATACAACCCTTACTAATATTATAAATGCGAATGTTTAGATGGATGTATGTTACAAGGTATCTCCAGAATTGCTAATCGGATCCTGCTAAAATTATGCATACATATAGAATATAATCTGGAAGAATTAAGCTACTAATTAAGTTTATTTTATTATTAATCTAAAACAGAGTCACGGGCGACAGCTATTTCTATAGTAATAACAGTATTTTATTCATACATAGTAACGTTAGAATTAAATTTAAGACACTTATTTTATCAGTATACAAATCTTTATAAAACACCCTTTAATACCCCTTGAGAATTAAGTAATACTGCAATTTCATGATTTAAGACCTATAAGTAACAATAAATGGTTCTAAAAGGAAAAGGTTAATAAAATAAATATTATCTGTGGTGTTTAATCTTCATTTGCATGACCAAAGATTGACCTAATGTCTCCCAAAGGATTTATACCCTTGTCTTTTACGTTTAAACAAAGACAACGTCCATAGAGATAGTAAAATTATTAGCAATTTTTTGTAAATTTACTAATTTTCTTTCTACCATTCCAACAAAGCTCTGTAATTGTACTAGGACATGTTTTCGATAATAACCGAAAAACCTTCCCATGTCTTTAGGATTAAGAAGCAATATTCACTCTCATTCTGTTATTAGTTAAGTCAATATTCTAGTTTTTTGTAATGTATTTATTTATATAATAGCATTATAAAATATGTTAAAGATAATTAACGTAAATAATAAGCAATCGCAGATAACGGCACTGGCCTTCACGCTAGGGGTAAACGAGACGGTGACATCATGTCGCCCAATATAAAAAAATATTCACTCTTATTGCTACGAAGGCAAATATATCTCTCATTATCTTTGAAAAACAGACAAAGATTTCGTCAGTGAAAGCTTAACTTAAATTAAAAACAGGAATACATCATCATTAGACGTTAAGTTGTTTCACACGTTGATTAATAGTGGTAGAGCCCGCTTTAACATCTTCGCACGAATTGTACCGATTCGCCCAGTGAAATACCACGAACACACAGAAGACAGGCGTGAAGTGGAAGCAATTCCGCGTTTCATCTGATGAGTGTGCGTCCCGGAGGCCTGATTTAGCCCTCGTTCCACTCCCACACTTTTTCTAATTTCAATATTTCAGCGATTTCAGGTCGCTCGCTCGTTTGCCACCATATGATATAAGAAAAAAAACACTAAGTCGAACAGTGCTGTTTTCACCGTTCTGCCTTCGTGTACAACAATCTACATCCTAGCTTTTTTCGGCTATAAAATTTACTAAAGACCCCTTAATGGTTAAGTGTTTATGGATGAATAGTTTGAATAATGTATGTAGGGGAGTTTGATAACATTCCTTGTTTGATTTACGATTGCACAATGACGAGGGTGGGTAATAAAGGCTCGATAATTTGTGAATTGAGTACTACTCAAACGTTTCACTTTCTAATTAAAACTTAATATTTAAGTAAGTATATCTACTTAAATATTCTGCTTTCTTTATTACTTCCGTACTTCGAGAGAAGTAGCTCATGCACTTAATTTTCTAAATATTTCGCTTAAGTATCCAAACTTGCTTTTAGAAATTCTTGAACATACTTTATTGCAATATTCTATTAACACTAATTATTAACCTAACAAACATTTATATTAATTCACATTTCTAAATTTATCATCATCATCAGCTCAAACTTCCCACTGAGGAGCTCGCAGCCTACCTAAGTTAGAGGTGACTAGGGTATAGTCAACCACGCAGGCCAAGTGCGGGTTGGTTGACTTCACACATATCTTTGAATCTCTTCACAGATATGTGCAGGTTGCATCACGATCTTTTCCTCCATCATAAGAATGTCGGATAAATGTACATATGTAAATCGAAATCAAGAAACACATGGCGGTATTCGAACCCAAGACCAAGATTACAAGTCAAGTGCTTTAACCCCTGAGTGGCAGACGCCAATTATAACTTGGTAGTACAAAATAATTAGCGAATGTTTTGCATTACATGGTTCAGGAGTTTTACAATTAAACAACTATTACGTCCGACCTCCATCATAGCATATTTGAGTGTCGAATAACACAGCGCCCCGTTTCGTAATTCAAACTATCCTTATTAATAAACAAATATTACAACTCTAGATAACCGCTGTCAGGAATACGTTTATGTAAAATTTAGTTGAGAACTTCAGGCTTCATATTAAATCTAACAACATTTATTACCTACTGTTTTAATATGATATTTTCCTTATATAAAGCATCAAGGATTTTTTTTTACATTTTTGAACTAGATATTTTTGTTTCATTGTAGAATTGTAAATATGGAAATAAAACTTCAAACTGAAGATGCTTTTCCTTAAAGGCTGGCAACGCATCTGCAGTTTCTCTGGTGTTGCAGATGTTCATGGGTGTCGTTGATCACCTCGGTGTTCCCGCCGCTCGTTTGCCTCCTTCTCTTATAAAAAAACAAAGAACCAATATGCGACGAACGCTAAAAAGGTTTTAAAGTCTAATTGCATATAATTTTACGTAGATTACGAGGAAATTTGACATTGATGTAGAACTTAGTCTGGAACACTTAAGCTACTAGCGTGTTTTTATCTCGCACGAATGGAGTCGCGGGCGACAACTAGTAAATGATAGTCATAAAAGATATATACGTTATAATCATTCAATAGAAGTATTGTCTGAAGTTTTAACGATGCTACTTAATATATGTTAGAAAAGTAGTTGATAACAGACCGTTAGTTGGGGTACATTCTGACGAAATTGTAACAGTTTGTGAACTGAGGCGACAACTTATGTTCAAAGTTAGTTCATGCGAATATCTTTACTAATATTATAAATGTGAAAGTATTATTCATACAATTGTCAAAGCTACAGTGCACTATTGCGAAAAAGTGACTATTTATTTTGCTACTAACTAAAATTTGTACATAACTTTGTTTTAAAAAATAAATTCCATTTTTTATATTGACATTAGCTATCACACGCGACTCCGTCTTCGCAGAATGAAAAAAAAAAACATAAGAGTAGGCTATGTGTTTTCTACATATGTGCCAAATTTCATCAAGATCCGTTTAGCCGTTCCGAATATACCTTCAAATAAACATCCATCCATCCAGACATTCGCATTAATAATATTAGTTAGATTTAACTTATGGCTACAAAAGTAGAGGAAGACAGAAAAAAGGATGGAAGGATTGTGTGAAAGAGGATATGCTTAAGGTGGTGAATTCAGATATGGTTTCTGATAGAGATGTATGGAGGAGAAGTTCATTCTGTGCCGACCCTCCGTAAGGAAAAAACATAAGTTGATAATAGGTTTTTTTGTAATTTTAGTCTTTTCTAAAGCGTAAGATCGACATTTTAACATATTTTATGTCATAAAGAATAACAGTTATGCCACTTCGAAGACAACTTCGGTAACTATTGCTCCCTCGAGTAAAGTTCATGTTATCCAAATTTATAGCGGCACTAGAAAACTTATGCCTCTAAAGGCTCATATTGTTCGAATCATTTTTACAATTTTTAGGATTCCGTACTTCGAAATAAAAAAGCAAACCTTTATAAAATCACTTTGTTGTCCATTCGTCTGTCTCATAATCAGCTCACTATAAGTCCCCACTGAGAGGCTTGGAGCCTACCCAAAGTCAAGGGTGACTAGGCCATAGTTAACCACGCTGGCCCATTGCGGGTTGGTTGACTTCACGCATGTCATTGAATTACTTTTCAGATATGTGCAGGTTGCATCACGATGTTTTCCTTCACTATAAGAACGTCGTGTAAATGTACAAGCGGAAAACACATTGGTACATGGCGGGATTCGAACCTAGTACCTGCAGATTACAAATCAAGTGCTTGTCGCCTGAGCCACCGCTGACCTGACGCTCTCCGTCTGTCTGTCAAGACCCTTTTTCTCAGGATCGCGTGCAGGTATCAAGTTGGAATTTATTTAACAAGGCAATACCTCTTTTTCTATCTATCTCATTCACTAAAGCCTCGATTGCTTATAATAGCGCTATTTTTATATGCAGTATCTTAGTTAATATAAAAGTTCTTTGTGAAACAAATTTGCAAACTGCAAAGATGCAGAAATACTTCTTAACAATGTTAATATACCGTTTTACGAAGACTTTGCACAATATTATTTGACTACGGCTGCTTCCGTCCAGACTACTGCAAGTTACTTAAATAAAAGTCGTTCGTGAGAAATAAAATGCAAGCAATGTTGTAGAAATACAATTTGTTTTATAAGTAAAAAAAAATTAAATGTTCATGATTTTTTTTTCAGTTATTCTAAACAGTTTCTTTTGATGATTTGAATTCATATACATAACAAAACAAAGGTATATATATCGTAAGAAGTAATTAAAGCTACCTAAATTCGAAGTAGCTTATCATCAGATAAAAGGATGTTTTGCACACCCCTTGCAAACTGCGGATTTAACGTAAGCCGTCTTAAACAGAGATATGCAACTCAAACGGAAGATCCCCTACTCTACCTATGTTCTTGTTTACCTTTGATATATTGTTAATGCCTTTGTTTGTAAAATATAAGGTTAGAGAAAAGGAAATCCATCACTTTAGGTAGATTGATATCTCGTAAAGTATTGATTATACAAATTTTGTGACAGTTCACAATAATAAAACCTTTTCATGTCCTTTATTCATGAATTCAAACGTTCATTTTAATAGTATAGAAAAATATTGTATAATTTCTATATTTCTGGTCTACTTCTTACTGAATGCAAGAATCGTCACCAATGGTTTATTTCTGTCCGGACAGCGAAGAGATCTCAAAATAGAAAAGTCAACTCTCTCGAAGTCAGTGTACGCATGTTCGTCGCGGACTTTGCCGGTGAAAGTTTCTTATAATTTTGTAAATTATTAGAAAAAATATACGCAATTAATTAATAGAATAACAATACGTGTTACATCAATGATGGCTCGATTGCAAATGGCGGCCATCTTTCTTTTTTTTAGCGTGTGTTACGCTTGTGACGTGGATATGGCAGTTTACAAAGTGACAGTGCGAATGTTATGGAGTGAACAGACGTTCCCAAAGGATTATCCAATGCAACGTCCAAAAGCACAATGGTCGCCAGTGTTTGGTTTGTTGTGATCAAATAAATATCTCTAAACATTTAATATTTACACCAAACATACGAATATAGTTAATTAGGCAATAAAGTGTGTTTCCTTCCAGTTGTGTACAATCAAATCAAGACAAAAAATCATTTCCAAAGACTCTTACTAATATCATAAATGCGACAGTTTAGATGGATGGATGTTTGTTTGATGATATCTCCAGAACGGCTACATGGATCTCGCTGTAATTTTGCACAGATGTAGAACATAGTCTGAAAGAACAAATAGGCTATTTTGTTTTTTTTTACTCCGGGCAGACGAAGTAGCGGGCGAGAGCTAGTTTTAGCATAAAGCTTTGAACAAAAACCATCATTAATATTGTCAGTGTTCTACTAATACAAAATGCATAACAAAATACGTGAAATTCTATTTGTCTGTAACGTCATATCTAAATAACAATAAAAAAGTAAGACATTAGTTCTAACTTCAACAACAACAATCGTTAGATAACATCATTGCCTTTTCTTTAGGGACGTCGAATAAATACGCGCTTATCTTGAGCAAGTGAAACCGTGAAATGTCGCTTAAGCAGTACAGATAAGAAGACTTTTTCTATTTTTCCTTCTTCTACACTTTTTTTCTAACTTTGTCTTTGCTGTATAGCGTTTCAAAGTTCAAGAGTAGATATTTACAATCGCTATGTATAATTACTCTTAACAAAGAAATAATAGGGATTCTATATCGGCAAAAATAAATTTACTTTGTACTTTTTTAATATTATTTTTTATATTGTGGAATTGAATAATAAAAATTCAGTTTGACAATATAGATTGATTTAATCAGGTTATACTTTACAGCTGTTTTATTTAAAATTCTAATAGAAATCTCAGTTAAGATGCGAAGTTGATCATTTGCATTTCTCGATCCAGTGAACTTGGAAGCAATGGTCTGTAAAACATTGTAGTAAAGTAAAAAAGGTAGAGACTACGTTATCACATTTTTACATGATAGTTTTTCATCTTTTTTTCATTTCATTTAAAGAAACACACGATTAAGTAAATACATACGATTATTTCGTTTCACATGTTTCGTTATAAAACAAAAAAAATCAAAATCGGAGCACCAGGGACGCAGTTACGCGATAATACACATAAAACAAAATACATACGAATTGATAAGCTGCTTCTTTTTGAAGTCGGTTAAAAAAATTGATGTCAATATTCAAAGAGCAAATTTAAAAAAAAATTGTTTAAAATTTAGTGATGCATAATGAAGTATCAAAGGTGTCTAAAGCCATCAATCATTGGTAAACATGTTGGTACATGATAAAATAGCTGAAAAATTTTAAATGTCATGAGAAACCAAAAAATTCGAAAATATTTCTTTCTTTTTTTATGCCGAATGTAGGAATAGAGTAGATTCTCCAAACAAATAACAAAATTTATTTCCATTTAGGTCAATCTCATAACAAATCTTACACGTTATTCCGCGTTGGAGAAGTAGCGAAGTCTTCAGTAAGAAACTTTGCGCAATATGGAAAATTGGATACTATGATAATGGAAGGTGAAGAAGATCCAAGAGTTTATGATCAATTCTCAACTCCCGCTCTCGGAACTGGAACTGGAGAGACAGAAAATTTGGTGTTCGTTGACACTGACCATAGTGAGGTGAGTCTTATTACCATCACTAGATTTGCTTTTAAGCTTTTCTAGTTATTCGCATACTTTATTACAGAAGGTCGTGCTCATCTTGATATTCCTTTACGGATGCGTCGACCAGCTGCCTCCACGCCGTCCTTTCTTAAGCTTTTAGATTCGTCCAAAGGCGTCAGTCAAAGACGTCAAAACCCATTCGAAAGATAACAGATGAAAGTGTAACACAATAAGTAAATTGTACAGCACTTTATCATTACGTAGCTATTATCCATCGCTTAGTAAGTTAGGTCTTATATGGGTCAATAAAGATATTACATTCAAGAACTTCTGTTCACAGATATCAATGATTAGTAAAATCATACCATCACCAGATTGGTTTGTCGGTGTGGATAGTTTGGATCTATGCGTTGATTCATCCTGGGTTGATCAAATTGTATTAGATGTAAGTAAAATTATATTTGGTAGCAATATCATCATCATCAGCTCACTATACGTCTCCTAACCTAAGTTAAGGGTGAATAGGCCATAGTCAACCACGCTGGCCAAGTCCGGGTTGACTTCACTCATATCTTTGAATTTCTTTTCGGATATGGGTGGGTTGCATCACTTTGTTTTCCTTCACCGTAAGGACGTTGGATAAATATACATATGTGAAACGAAAAACAAATTGGCGGGATTCGTACTCACTTTCGCTCCAATGCCACGCCTGGTACCAATATACTCTAAAGAATCCTACTCCTATTTTGATGATCGCCAAAAAATTTGAGGATGATTTTTATATATTATTGAAATATTTAATGTTGTCATTTTAGTTGGAGCCTTTAGATGCAGGAGCTGCCAGTGGTCTTACATTTACAGCTCCACGTTGGGAAAACTCACCTCCTGGAGTCATATCTAAACATAAACCTCGCCAACCGAACCATCCTGCTGCTGGTTTTTACTATCCAAATAAAAAGGAATTACCACCGATAGCCAAAGTTGAATTTACAAAGGTAAAATTTTTTAAATACTTTTTCCATGAAATTTAAGCGACACCACACTTCAATTTAAGATCAAAATAGTCAGAAATAAGAATGATGTTATGCATTATCTGAACAGAGTAAAGTTAAAAATATTACTAATTTAAATTTACAGGTAAAAGAATATTCATCTAAAGAAGTGAATGATTTAGCAAGAAAAGAATTGTTGAATAATCTTCACTTAAAAGATAAACTGAAAGGTTTGCCTAAAAGGAAATCATTGAACAATTATCAAACAACTGAATTAAATCAAGAATTAACGACAAAGAATAATTTCGATCAATTAGTTGAGTTAGAAGAAGAACCTTTTGGAACACCGCGACCGAATTTACCGAATAACAAAGTTGAAATTGTTACTAATGCTCCTACCACGTAAGTAATATGGTAGCATACCTACTATTTGTATATTGCAGTGTCTTGATACTTTAATTATACTACATTAGCATACACTGAATAGCTTAAAAGTGATATAATCTATTGCTGAAACTAATGCAATACTTTGACTTTAATGTATACTGTACTGGGGTAAAATTATAATAATAACGCAACATAACCATCTGCAAAAAAAGTATGGTCAGTATACTAGTCAAGAATCCAAGTGGGACATCCATTGTCACATCTGTATTTTGGATACACCGCAAATGAGAGCAACAAAAGTAAAATATTTATAAGGTCGTGGAAAAAAGCTAGTAGAATAGTATGGTTCCCTTTAATCACAAAGGATTTTCATTTCTAACTCTTATTTGAACAAAAATTCGAATATTTCATTCGATGTCATACATCAGAGAGTACCGCTTACAAAAAAAAATCAAACATAAAAGTGAAAAACCACTACACTGTCAATATTTAATCAAAACAGAACAACGTCCGTGTTTTTGTAAATATGCATAACATTTTTTGATTTATTTCTGGGAAATTCCATTTTGTGATTGTAAATATGCTTATCAAAATACCGATATTTTAATATTTAGTTTTTAGCCTGTTCAAAATTAAAAAGCTAAATAAAAATAAATTCATTTTACATATAACTTATTGCATTTGTGTTTGACAGGAATATAAAAATGGACGAAGAGTTTGATAGTGATCTAAAGAACATGGACGATGTTGTACTCGCGGTTGCTAACGGCAACCGTTTAGGACTAGGTAAGCGACTGCCGAGACACTTCAGATCTCGTCTGCATCACGCTGTTAATAGAATCCAACGTGAGTAAACAAATTATACTAGTATTAAAACGAGAAAAAAGGCAATGAAGCAATATAAATCTGACCAGGTGGTAGTTAATATTTCCTTCCAAATCTTTGGTTGGACACATTTCCATACTAAGTAACTCTCTTGGACACTTAACGTCTTGAGTGTGACAGAGAGTTGACACGATGGCATCATACGATCATAATAATATTCATCAAATCCCTCCTTTAATTGTTTTTCTTCAATTTTTAACGTGTTCCAGCTGATGATTGCCTGGTATCAGAATGGGGCAGTTGGACTCCTTGCTCGGCAACATGTGGCTTTGGAGATCAGTTTCGAACCCGAAGTGTAATTCGAGAAAAGCGAGGAGATGGCCGTAACTGTCCCACATTGACTGATAGAAAACATTGCGGTAATATCAACTCTTGCGCACATATTGATTATTTCGAATGGTGATAGGAAATAAGAAATTGTTGTAGGTCTTAAAATAAACTTTTATTACCATAAAGTGTTGTTTAATTTTTAAATGGTATCATAATTTATATTCCACGCATGTTTTTTGGTAATTTATTTCGCTAAATTATCTCCCTATTATTTATTTTGTCTCTTAATTTAACTAAATATATTTGAATTTGATAATGAATAAATAAACTTGTCCTTTCAGTCTTATAGTTTTATTATGTTACTATTGCAACATATAAGTCAAACATATATATATATAACATATATAGCTATCAATGTTAGTAAAGTTTTGAGATAACATTTTCCATTTGACACAGCCTGGGGCGAGAGGGGAGACATGGGCATGCGGTGTATGTGGGGAGAGTGGGGAGAGTTGGGCGACGTGTCGACGATTACGAGGGTAATTCAATGTGGTGCGGCGCGGTGTCATAGCCGCGGGCCGCGGACGAGACCATAAATCCCATTAGCTCCCTGGTGACAGATTACCGGAAAATTACACTTCGAAGCAATTGCTAATACTCAGATGTACATCGCAGGAAGGTTTGTTTTGATATATGATAGTGTTTGTTTGGTATAATTACGCCAAATATTTAACTAGAAATCGTATAAATTTAAAGCAACAACCAAATTAGGGTGTACTGTTAACCAATAAAGTCATGGGTTCATATGTGCCATTAAATCTCGAGAATCAATTCTTAAAAAACTAAGATTCGGTTTCACCACAACAGTCATCATGAAAGTTTCATGGTATGCTTTTCATATTAAGTGACTTTTTTATAATTTGGAAAAGCCTAGTCTTGTTTTTATTCAATATATTACCTACGTTATTTCTTGAAGTCGTGAATAATTTCTAAAAACATTTTCATCTGCAAATATTCCACCATCTTTCTCTAGCACAATATTATATAAGCGATTTACAGCGCCATCTATCAAATCTTTATTTGCTGTAGAATGTAAATGATACTTGCTTTATAATATTTTTAGTCTGTAGACTGTGTGTATAGTAAACGTCATCATCGGCTTAGACTGCTTGTTAAATTTACACGGCGCGGAATATTGCAAGTTAATATGATTTCCTCGTGTTATGCCGCCTCGCCTCTGGGTGCGGGGGAACGTCGACGTGTTCCAAATAGAGTTATTCCAGTATTCGCACGTTCCCCTTGAATTGAGCTTAGGTAAAATTTTCCGATCGCAAAATTGTTTTGCTTTTAAATGTTTTTTAAATAAATCCTTATTTGGATTCTTACCAGGGTACAACTTAAAAGGTGAATATGCACTAGGGCATTTTCTCGAACATTTATATGTAACGTTCTTACGAATGGTATCATCATCATCAGCTCATACGTCCCCACAGAAGGACTTGGAGCCTACCCTAAGTTAAGGTTGGTTAGGCCATAGTCAACCACGCTGGCCAAGTGCGGGTTGATTGACTTCACACATATCTTTGAATTTCTTCTCAGATATGTGCAGGTTGCATCACGATGTTTTCCTTCACCGAATGGTATAATACAGGTGAAAGCATAGTTTCCAAAGCACATGTGGTTGCTGGTCTGGTACAAGTTAAAACTCTAGTCTATACTTACCTTAACAATAATAAATAATAAAATATTTGTAGCATACTTCAAATAAGTAACTTTTTATTATTTTTATTTAACCTTTACTAACGAAGACAACACGACAACTGCTTCACGTCGTTAAATAATCATAGAGGGCGACCCTTAATATAGATTTAGTATGAAATATGAAGACTAAGGGTTCGCTTAAGTAAGCATTTATGTTTGAGTATATCAGTAAATCAGTTGAAAACCTAATGGACATAGTTCAATTAATGTGAATAAATTCACAACATAAATAATTATAATTACATCTTTTCACTGCAATATTTTCTTGTTTATCCATGCTCTTAAAATGTTATTAAACGAATTTAAAACTGCAAATAGGGTTAGTTAAATTTCGTTCCAACATTGTCCCAGCCTTCATAAATTGTACGCTATGCTCCGTATAATGGGAAAACCTTGCAAAAGTAGTTCCTACTAAAGTCATAAGATGGAAATTGCACTGTAGCCTCTAACTTACATCTTGAAGTTAAATGGTGTTATGAATTTAGCTTAGAATTCATCTTATACAATGTATAAATATACATAAATGTATACAACGTATAAATATGAATTTTGTATATTATTATACATATAAATTAGGTTTGTATGTTAAATTATTATACAGTTGTATAAAAATCGTTAAATATATAGTAACGAAAATTAGTTACAATTATATTATTTCTTTAATAATAATAATAATCTTTTATTCAGACACATGGTCCATACAAAACAAAATATACAAATTTAAATTCTAGCACAAAGATAACGCACAAAATTCTTCAAGGCACATGTAGAGGTGTCCACATGGCCAGCACTGGACAGTCCAATCCTACTCTATCGACAATGAGTTGCAGGTATATATATTTAATTTTTTTTTAATCAGGCATCTGTCATAAAATATCTCTGTTCAATCTGTCTCTGATATATTTTTAATTTATAAATAACTAATCTTGCTAATTAAGTTTTCAAGAACAAAATTCCAGTCAATAGAATCTGAGACCTAGTTTCACAAATATCATTAAAAAATTGCGAAAATTAAGTAACTTTTGAAATAATTTTTGAATAGAGAAAAGTCATTCGAAATCTCTAATACGTCATTTGAAATCGGCTTTATTAGTTGGTACGAAATTTCAATTCAACTCTGGGATATTTCTCGAGTTTTAACCTACTTAACTGCAAATGACTGTATTTTCGCCTCGAAATTATCAAGTTTTAATTAAATAAAATTGTAGAGTTAATTTAATGTAACAAAATATAATTAAACTCTTCTAGCTCTTGTCTTTTACTTCACCAGTAAGCAAGGCTTCGAATATTTATGTATAAAAACTTTGAGTCTTATTGGTATTTTGTGAGGAGTTACAGTTAATAATTCAAAACGAATTTCATTCGCCGAAATAGCGAAATGATCTCTGTCCCTAGACATCTACAATTGTAAACGTTGTCTACCTTAAATCGGACGGAGGAGAGGACGCTTACAAAGAGGACATTACCTTACGCGTCCCTTCCTCTGTCAAATTAATTACTACACTGTTTTAGGTATACATAAGCAGATGGAATCTTGAAATGAAGAACTTTACGACGTAGCTTTGTAGTTATTTATAAATGGGTCCATTCACCTTCCGCGTATTCATCTGGCCTAGTTTCTTTTTTTAATTCTTATTATAAAACGGACACACAAAAATAACCATATAAATTTTATACATTAGAAATTTAAGCTTCATGATAAAAGGTTCAAAAATAATAGTACAAAAAGTATTCCGGTACCGGGAATCGAACCCGAGCCTCCTGGGTGAGAGCCAGGTATCCTAGCCACTAGACCATACCGGATCATGTAAGCAATTCCAAATTTTAAGAGTAATGCTACAGTCTAAATTTATTAAACGATAACTTTAGCAGTAATCAGCACTAAAGAACACTCATAGTATTTTTATTTAACAACACCATGTGCGAAGACAAACTATTTAATGACCCTTTCCACGTGATATTACCATGATCCCATTACTTAGATACGTTTAAAAACAAACGAAAAATTTTGTTAAAAAAATAAGAAAAGTTGGCTTTACGAGTGAGAATTAAGTGCCCATTTCCGTCAAGTGGCAGTTAAACACTCAGCTTATAAATACTTAAGTTAATTCGAACTTATTCCACTACTGTTTTTTAATATAATAAATTTCAACAGTGCTTCATAAATATTAAAATTTTTATTCCTTTCTTTCGTTTTGTAATAAAACAGGGATAAAAAGATTGTTTTGTACATTTTGTCAACGGAAACCTACATGAACTTTTTAATATTATTATTATTATAGAAGATTAAAACAACGCCGTTAGATATAAATAAAATTCGTTTTACTTACCGTTGATTTCTGAGACCAATATCTCTATATAAAACGTATCGTTGACTAAACCGAGCTAAAAAGATGTTTGAAACGAAGATTTTGGTCTTAGAAACCCACGATAAATTATCGACTAATTGAATATTTTTTTAGGAATAAACCTAACTTTATCAGTCTTCTGTACCTAGACCTTTATTGAATCAACTCACATCATTGGCTTTGGAACAACTCGAGCGACAAGCAAATAAATAAGTTAAACACCAGCCCCTTAAGGACTTTAATCCGATCAAAGGCCCTTTGGAAGCCGTTTAATGAACTGTATATACGTAAAGAGGCAACGTTAAAATTATCAATAAACCTACTAAGTAAGACCTTATTATAAAATCTCTTTTGAAAATCTTGATTCAAACATATTATATTTATCTATTACTAGCGGTTACCTGCGACTCCGTCCGCGCATATTGAAAAAAACTAAAAAACCTTCCTGAACAAATCCCGTGAAAATCGGGTTAGCCGTTCTGGAGATCACCCGAGACAAACGCAGACATACAGAACTGATATATAAACACGGCTAAACACTCACATATATTCGTCCGGTGGCGGCACCGACTAGTTTCGAGCCCATCGGGGGCCCTTCATCAGGATGAGTGGTACTGGTGAGCGTACACTCAGAGTGAGCGACGGGCCGCGTCCGCGAAATAATACCAGTACCACTCATCCTTCCATTAAATTGGGATGTATTTGTCATCACTGGCAGGTAAGTACCAAACCTTAACAAGGTTCAACAAAGAAATATCTAATAAAACTATTACTTTCCGTTGAACATTTTCTTCGGCTCGTCGTTTTATGACATAACAAAAAATCTTTCAAAGAAAGGCGAAATATAGTTATGCGTTTGCAAAAAAAAAGGGAAATATAATGTTGAGATTGGGCCATCTGGATATCGAAACAAAATTCAATCCATTTCTCGAGCAAATAAATCTCAAGATGTGCTGCGACTATTGACTTCAATATTTTCTTATCGGATAACTTCGTGCTCTGTTAGATTTCTCACGATATAGTGCAGAATTTTTGTGCTTTCCGACATCTTCTTCTGTTTCTTCTTCACGAAGGGACTAACGTAACGTAATCTGTATTATTATTTTTGACTA